ATGGTTAATGTTTCAAGTTCACTCTCTATTTCTGAAGAAGAGCCTTATTTGAAATGAAACGTTCACTCTGTTTCTCTCTCCACAGTTGCTGCCAGACCTGTCGAGTTTCCCAAGCGTTCTCTGTGTTGTCTGGGACTGTCTGTCTGGAAGGGCATAACTGAAAGGCCTTGCTCTATAATTGATGATCATGGCTGACGTTTTCGCAATCGCTCAGGAAGAATTGGTGACAAACACAGAAAATACCAGTTTAGACCCAAAAGGGCGGGTGACTCCACCCTGGAAACTTTGATCCTGAGGAAAGCCCATCGCTGCCCAATTTAGTACCGAATTAGCAAATTATATAGCGAGAAAAGGTCAGAGTCATAGAGTCATACAGCATGGAAACAGACCCTTCAGTCCAAATCATCTATGCCGACCAGATTTCCCAAGCTGATCTAGTCCCACTTGCATTTGGCCCATATCCCTCTCAACGTTACCTATCCATGTACTTTATCAAACGTCTTTAAAATATTGCAATTGTACTTTTCTCTACCATTTCTACTGGCAGTTCATTCCACACACGCTCCAACTTCTGTGTGAAGATATTGTCCCTCAGGTCCCTTTTAAATCTTCCCCCTCTCACCTTAAACATATGCCCTCTAGTTTTGGACTGCCCAAAAGACCGTGGCTATTCAGCTTATCTATGCCTCTCTTGATTTTATAAACCTCTATAAGGTCACCCCTCAGCCTCCTACATTTCAGGGAAGAAAGTCCCAGTCTCTCCTTATGTCTCAAACCCTCCAGTCTTGGTGACGTCCTTGTAAATCTTTTCTGAACCCTTTCTGGTCTGATAATATCCTGCCTATAGCAGGTGGACCGGAACCGTGCGCAGTACTCCAAATGTGACCTCACTAATCTTTTGTCACTTCTTCCAGCAGGACCCACTCACCTCCATTAAAAACTATCCATTTTGAGTGAGATCAAGAGTAGGGAGCAGTAAATAGACATTAGTTACTAATATAACCAGAAGGAAATTCAGGAATAAAAACAGAGTTTGCTGGAAAAGCTCTGCAGATCTGGCAGCATCTGTGGAGAAAAATCAGAGTTAAAGTTCAGTGACCCTTCCTCAGAATTCAGGAAATGGTTCTTTACCAAGAAAGTGGTGAGAATGTGAAACTGGCTACTGAAGGGTATAGTTGAGGGGAATAGCTTCAATAGATTAAAGAGAATGCTAGATGAGTATCCCAGCTAGAAAGGCATGGGCACTCTGTCAAAAGGTTAAATGGAGTGGGGCGTGAGGAGGCTTGTGTGATGTATAAATGCCAATATGAACAAAATGGGGGAGAGTTCTCTCAACCCATGTCATTTGTTTGAGGTGACATAACCAGGAATTTGCATAGAAGTGGTAGGAAAATCAATATGAAAATAAATGCCATATGGTTTTCTCACTATTACTACAATAAATAGCATTAGACACTTCTAACTGACTTTAAAATGGATTCTACTTTGTGCTTTGTGTCAGTCAGTTTAATCCATTGATTAGATTACGGCCTTGTAAATGACTCAAAATCATCCAAACCTCGCTGCATATCAATATTTTATAGTAAACATGTACCACTGAGTGTGTCTGAAAAATGGCACAAACTAGATTTCCTTAAAATTCCTTCATGTTTTTGATAATAATGATTGGAAGTTTTATGGAAGGATGTCTTTTTTGGAAAAAATAAATTATAGGAATTAGGAATCCCATTTAAATTATGTGAACATATTCTAATTTACATGTGTTTGCATTTTAAGTAGAGCTTAAGTGAAGATGTTTTTAATTTTAGCACAGCTTTTAAAATCAAGGCACCGATATTTCATGTTGACACAATCTGTGAAGATGGATTATTATTAGCTATTCCCGAACATCTCTGTCTTGTTTTTTTTTCAAAACATGATTAGTATTTTTAAATAGTTTTATTTTTCATTTCAACTTCTATGTCATTACCTCCCATTCAACCAGAATCTAAATGCAGAAGATCATCAGACGCCATTTCCACCACCTCCAGCGAGATGCCACCACCAGACACATATTCCCCTCCCCTCCCTTTTCCGCCTTCCACAGGCACCATTCCCTCTGGGACACTCTTCCTTCACTCCCAACACCTCCCCACAGCCCCACTGCACTTTCCCCTGCAATCGTTGAAGGTGTAACACCTGCCCATTTACCTTCTCTCTCCCCAGTATCTAACGGCCCAAACATACCTTCCAGGTGAAGCAGCACTTTACCTGCACTTCCCAGAATCTAGCCTACTGCATCCGCTGCTCACAATGTGGTCTCCTCTACATTGGGGAAATGAAGTGTAGACTGGGTGACCACTTCGCAGAACATCCACATTCTGCTTGCAAAAAAGACCCTGAGCTTCCAGTTGCCTGCCACTTCAACACACCACCCTGTCCCGTGACCAACATCTCTGTCTCAGAGATAGTAGGACCTGCCGATACTGGAGAATCTGAGATAACAAGGTGTAGAGCTGGATGAACACAGCAGGCCAGGCAGCATCAGAGGATGAAGAAAGATCCAGACCCGAAATGTCAGCTTTCCTGCTCCGCTGATGCTGCTTGGCCTGCTGTGTTCATCCAGCTCTACACCTTGTTATCTCTGTCTCAGGCTTGCTGCAGTGTTCCAGCGAAGCTCAGCACAAGCTGGAGGAATAACACTTCATTTTCCGCTTGGGGACCCTGCAGCCCTCAGGACTCAATATCAAGTTCAATAATTTTAGGGCCTGAACACTCCCATGTCCCAGCACCTAGCCCCACACACCAGGCCTTGTTACCACATAGCCTACCATTACACTCTACCTATTGTTAGTCACTAACAGTCCCCATTAACATGTATTCACCTTCCCAGCCTGATCGTTATCAACTGGTTTACCTGTCGAACTGTTCTTCACTCTCTTTGGGCTTTAGTCCCACCTATCATTTACTTCTTTCCCCCTTCCCCCCTCCCCCCCACCCTATCTTCTGCATATAAACTGACATTTTCCCAGCTACCATTAGTTCTGAGGAAGGGTCACTGGACCCAAAACTTTAACTCTGATTCTTTTCTTCACAGATGCTGCCAGACCTGCTGAGCTTTTCCAGCAACTTCTGTTTTTGTTCCTGATTTACAGCAATTGCAGTTCGTTCGGTCGTTGCACTTTATATCTATTCAACTGTTTACAACAAACAAAGTACTTCCCCTAGCCAAACAGCCTGTGTTGTAAAACTAATCCATAATTCGATGTGATTCTACAATAGGACAACATTTGTTAAATAATTCTGATAGTGTGAAGAATTACACTGACAACCTTCCATTCATACGCATCTTTTAAAACAAAGGAAATATGTATACAGAGTATGCATGTTTCAATGCAATGAGCAGAGTTATCTCCAATAACCTGGCCAATGCTGATCATAAAAGTCAGCCATTCACTGGGTCAGTTCTCAAAGCAATACCCTGCCTAATCAGAGTCAACCTACTCGCTTTAAAATTTAAACAAAGCCTGGCAGTTAACTGTCAACCATCATATATTGATGCATTCCCCATGTCCATTTTTCTAGCAATCAGATTTCACTTGCCAGGCTATAAACACTCTTCTCTCAAACAGTATAAATGTTAGTTTTCACCTTGGATGTGTATATTTGTGAATTGTTCTGACGAGCACAAAATGAAAAACTTTGACAATGTGGAAGTCTGTTACTGAAATTTGTGTTGAAAGTCATAGGCAGTTTAATGGTACAGATACTGAGTTATACAGCACAGAAACAGACCCTTCGGTCCAAATGGTCCATGCCGAACATAATCACAAACTAAACTAGTCCCACTTGCCTGCTCCTGGTCCAAATCCCTCCAAACCTTTCAAATTAATTTACATATCCAAATGTCTTTTAAATTGTTGTAATTGTAGCCACATCCACCACTTCCTCAGGAAGTTCATTCCACACGCAAACCACCCTCTTTGCAAAAGAAAAAATTACCCCTCATACCTTTTTTAAACCTCTCTCATCTCACCTTAGAAATGTGCCCCCTATTCTTGAAAACTGCTTTCTAGGGAAAAGACAACTACCATTAACTCTATCTATACCCCTTATTATTGTATAACCTTCTATAAGGTCGTCTCTCAATCTCCTACACTCCAGTGAAAAAGATCCCAGTCTATCCAGCCTTTCTTTACAACCCAAACCTTCTGCACCTGGCAACGTCCTGGTAAACCTCTTCTGAACCCTCTCCAACTTAACAATATCTTTCATATAACTGGGCGACCAGAAGAGGCCTCACTAGTGTAAATAAAACCCGAAAGAACTGCGGATGCTGTAAATCCTGGAACAAAAACAAAGTTGCTGGAAAAGCTCAGCAGGTCTGGTAGCATTTGTGAAGGAAAAAACAGAGTTAACGTTTCGGGTCTGGTGACCTGGTTCTGAGGAAAGGTCACCGGACCCAAAACGTTAACTCTGTTTTTTTACCTTCACAGATGCTGCCAGACCTGCTGAGCTTTTCCAGCAACTTCTGTTTTTGTTCCTCACTAGTGTCCTTTACAACATCAACCTGACTTCCCAATTCCTATTCCTCCTGTAACATGACTGTCTCTGTTTTATCCTGTCCCTCGAACATTTCTCACTGCGCAGCTTCAGTTCTTTCACTGGGACTATTTTTATCACTTGCTGCAGGCAGTGTTTTTTAAGGGACATCAACTTTCCAGAGGTTGTTAGTTCGAATTGTGCATAACTGTACAAGCTTAGAAGCTGACAACACTTCTGAACTGCATTGCTGCTGGGTTTCTGATCGCTTTAGTCATTAAAAAGTGAAATATATCTCCTTCTGTGAAGGAGCTCTCAGATCTGTGCTGAAGAGTTGAATCAAATCATGATTCATGAAACCCATGGGGGCCACTATCTTGTGATTTTATATCTGATTTGACACTTAGGAAATTTTGGAATCCTTTCAAAACCATCAGTGTTTTTAACGATGTCACCAGTAGACGCTGCATACAAAGAAATACTTTGTTTGATCTTTATTGTTTCTTGATGTCCCTCATGAATAGTATTGATGCCAGTTAGGTGCAACAATTATTCCAGTAAATTCGAATTTGGCACTTTCCAATGTAACCTTGGATATTATTCAAGCTGCAGGAATGCTTTGATCCACATCGGGCCTTCACCAATTCCAAATGGGCCTTATCCACTTCACATTAAATTGTGCACAGATGGGGACTGGTCTTCCACGGAACTCCTCCCTGAGTTCGAGTGGATTTGGCGTATGAATTCGGTGATCAGTTCCTTTACTGCCACCTGAGAGATATTTCACCTGACAAAAGAAAGGAAAATCTTGAGCGTGAAACAGAAATTGCAGGAGAAATTCAGCCAATCCGGCAGCATCTATTGGGAAGAAAGCGGAGTTAATTCTTTTGAGTCTGGTGACTGTTCGTCACAACTCAAAGGAAGAAAGCTCCTGCATTTGTATAGTGCCGCTCTTTGAGTCTGGTGACTCTTCGTCACAACTCAAAGGAAGAAAGCTCCCGCATTTGTATAGCGCCGCTCTTTGAGTCTGGTGACTCTTCGTCACAACTCAAAGGAAGAAAGCTCCCGCATTTGTATAGCACCGCTCTTTGAGTCCGGTGACTCTTCGTCACAACTCAAAGGAAGAAAGCTCCTGCACTTGTATAGCACCATTTGCCATCTCAGGATGCCGCAAAGCACCTTCCAGTGAAGGAAGCACATCTTGAACTGGACTGACTGCTGTCCTGTAAAAACAGCATAGAAATAGATCAGAAATTTATTGTCACATGTACTTTTATGTGAAAAATATAGCAAAAAATTTTATAAGTCACCACGCCACAGAGCCTATATTAATGACAGAAGTCATACATAATAATTCTAAAGAAGTAAAATTAAGACAAAGGTTATCAGAGTTCAGTTAATGGCTCCTGGGCTCAGGGAAAGACAGAATAGTTTCTGCTGAAGCTGTTAAATGAAGGTAAGGTGAATCTTGATAATAACTAGAATAACTGGAGGTCTTAAAGAAAAGCAGAGAAATAAAGTAAGAAAAGTTGACAGAGTAGACATGTGTGGTTCCCGGCAACAGTGAAAAGTTGTAAAAGTTGCCTTACCACAGCAGGGAATTAATAACAGAAGTTATAAACAAGAATGTTTTTCACAGTTCAATTAAAGACACCTGGCTTTGGGGTCTGCTGGAAAACCAGGCCAAAACTGCCCCTGCAGGGCTGCACCGAGACTGCCATGCCACGCTGAGATGGGATCTCCATGCTGAGCTGTTGGAAGATCAGGAAGCTGCCTCCGAAGCAAGGGCAAGACCTCCGTGCCAAGACAAGGCCTCTGCACTGAGACTAGACCTTCATGCCAGGCTGCAGGGCTAATGGTAAGTTGCTGAAAAAGCCCTTCACAACAGGATAAGACCATCAGGGGTACAGCCACAAAATAAGGGGGAGCCGATTTAGCACTGGGTTGAGGAGGAACTTTTTCACCCAAATGGCTGTGAATCTGTGGAATTCCCTGCCCAGTGACACAGTTGAGGCTTCCTCGTAGAATGTTTTTAAGGCAAAGCTAGACAGACTTTTGAACAGTAGAGGAATTAAGTGTAATGGTGAGAGGGTGGGTAAATGGAGCTGAGCCCACAAAAAGGTAAGCCATGATCTTATTGAACGGTGGAGCAGGCTCGATGGGCCAGATTGCCTACTCTCCCTCCTACATCTTATGTTCTCCAGACCGAGACTGCCTACTCCCAGTATCTCTGTGTACTTTGAACGGACTTAATTCAGAATTCCGTACAGTATCAGGCATTCAGATTCCAAATAATTAATGCCAGTGTTTGTGCTATACGTAGGTCGTCGACCACACTTTAGTTCACCGCTCCCCATCAAAGTAACCTTCTAGCTGATCCTTGACTACAATTCCTAACTGGTAAGTACACAACAGAACATCTTTTGTGCCATCTTTTAAAAGAAAGCCTGCAATTAATTTCTTTACTTTGGAAGATACTTCTGCCTAGCAATCACCTGAAGAATATCGCTGTCGAGGAACAGTGTTCTTGCAGTACTGTCATTGCATTTCTTGCCACACATTTTGCATTCATGATGCATGCCCTCCCAGAGATTCTATGGGTTTCTCCATCCATCATGTCGGGCACAATTTGCAGTTTTGAATTTGATGGCATTATATTAACAAGGCAGTGAAGTGCCTCTTCCCAATAAATTGGAATGGTTTTATCCCTTTCCCTTCTAATATTGTTCGTGCCAACAGCCATTTTGTTATCAGCAAGCTGTTACAATAACTTGAAATGGGAAGCAGCTTTTGATTGACAAACTTGTCCCCAGCAAGGTCAGCTAGGAAGGAGGCGTCATTTCAACCGAGTTCATTAAATCAGAATGGATTCTACCACTGAAGGCCAATAGATTCTGCTGGATCACCACTTGGGCAGTGTTTCACTCCATTAGTCTGAGCTAAATTTGAGAACAGATCCCAAAGCTCATTCTTCCAGTCAGCCTGTGACTCAGGACCTGTCAAAAAGTGGGTAATGTGTTGTTGCTTCAATCACACCTCGACAGTCCGCGAATTTTTACGTTGCAAGCACAGCAATTTACAGCGACATAAACAATTTACTCCAGAACGCCAGGTGATGAAGGATGGAACTAGAGTCAATATTTGCAGGCTATTATTGATGTAACTACACACAGTGCCACATGGTCCTGGGTCCTGGCCCCATCAGATTTATACAGCAGGCCTACTGCATGAGGTGAGGTGGATCTGGGACAGAGAGGCTGCTGACACATGAAACAGGAGATCCTGGGCAGCCTGCCATAGCAGTACCATAAGAATGACCTTCTCCACTCCCCCAGGGTAAGTGCCACAGTCTTCTTCTCTGACACCCAATCTATCTCTGCTACTGTGCCCACCTCCCACCGAAGGTTCATGCTCTGCCCCACTCATGATTGCCTGCCACATCTTCCCTCCCTCGCTGTCACTCACCCTGCCTCCCACACCACAAACACTGTATGGCCTCTAGGATCTCTGAACACACTACATATCACCTGCCTGGCTCAGGACTAACAGGCATGCCATTTACTTTCATCTCACTCGATTCTTCCCTTGCTCTCTTTACAAGTGTGAGGTGATGCATTTTGGGAGGTCAAATGTTACAGGGAAGCACACTGTAAATGGCAGGACCCGTAGGAGCACTGATATGTTTAAGGATCTTGGGGTGCAGGTCCATAGCTCCCTGAAAGTGGCAACAACAAATGAAAGAATGATTTATTTGTGTCACTTGCATTTTACAGTGAATAATACAGCAAAAAAAGTGAAAAGCTTCCACGTTTCAGCGCCATTTTGAATAGTTCAAAACTGAAATGTGTAAAAAAGATACAACTTAATGGGAGTCCTCCACTGCCTTGCCACCACTTGCGCTGGACCTACCAACATAGGAGTTCCCACTCTTTAGGAGCCAGCTCTTTGCTTCTGGGCTGACCTCGCTGCCGCTGAATCCCATACTGATCCCACACTTGCCCCGCAACCAGGAGTGGATAAGATGGTAAAGAAGGCATGCAGCATGCTTGCCTTCATTGGTTGGGGCATTGAATATAAAAGATATCAAGTCATGCTACAACTGTGTAAGACTATAGTTAGGCCGCATTTGGAATATTGTGTGCAGTTCTAGCTGCCAAACTATGGGGAGGATGGGGAGGCTTTGGGGAGGGTGCAGAAGAGATTTACCAGGATGTTGCCTGGATTGGAGCGTATTAACTGTAAGGAGAGCTTGGACAAATTTGGATTATTTTTGCTAGAGCATTGAAGGCTGAGTGCTGGCCTGATAGAGGTATATAAAATTATGAGAGCCATAAATAGGGTGGAAAGTCAGAATCTAGGGGCATAGGTTTAAGGTCAGGGGGGGCAAGTTTAAAGGTAACGTGCAAGTCAAGTCTTTTTTTACACAGAGGGTGGTAGATGCCTGGAACGCACTGCCAGGGGAGGTGGTAGAAGCAGAAACATTATCAAAATTTAAGAGGCATTTAGGCAGACATACAAACTGGCAGGGAATAGAGGGATATGGTCCATGATGGGGTTAGTTTAAAATAGCATCATGGTTAGCACAGGCATGGTGGGCTGAAGGGCCTGTTCCTGTGCTGAACTGTTCTATGTTCTACAGGAGGAGACAGACAATAATAGGGCAGAGAGAGCCTATCTGAGTGGAGGCGGTTTCTGACATTACGCCTTATAAAAAAGAGAGCCCTGTCAAATACAGCAGAAGACGGGGACTGGTCCCATGGGGTTGGGGGAGACACCTGAGTAAGTCCCACTCTCCATATTACTCTCCCAGTAACCCTGCTGTCAGTTCATTCACAACCCACCACCCCCAAGCACTGGCCATGATGCTTTCTCCCTCTTATCTCTTGCAGCTACCGCTGTTGTATCGACCACCTCCACAGTGAGATGCCCAGCTCCCCACAAAACCTTCTCCTCAACTGCTATGGATGAACGTATCAAAGCCTTATAGAGGGAAGCTTTGGTAAAGCTGCCTCCTGTGACTCAGCCTGACCACCAGCTCAGATACTGGCACCTCATTGGAAGCATTAGCTCTGGGGCCATATGTTGGGTGAGCACCTCACTGTGACATCTCTGCAGCTGGCTGGGGAAGGTATGCCTCAGGCCAGTGGCACTCAGAGGACCTGTCAGAGGCCAAGCACCTTCTCAGCCCTGTGCAGGACCTGTGGTGTTGGCAGGCAGGGACTTTGTCAGATGCCTAGCGAGGAACAGGAGGAGCAACAGCAGCGGACCTCATTGAAAAGAAGCTGTTGGCTGCCCCCATGAACAAATTGGCACCCTGACCGGCATTGCTACTTATGTGCCCTGTCTGCCTCTGTTCTTGCCCTTGGTAGGGTCCAAACATTAAGCCTAACAATTTCACCTTGAATTCGTGTGAACTGGAATAAATTTGGTGCGAGAAAAATCTTCACGCAGGAAGACTGTTAGCTACTAATGGTCGATCGTTTACACTTGATTCATAAGGGGCATGATGTCAATGTCATCAGTCTAAAAGTAACATCTATAGACTGATTACTCAGTGATCTAGATTCATATTCTGAAGACAAAGACCCATCCCAGAAGCTGGAATTTGAATTGAATTGATGAATCTGGAATATAGGAAGTTAGTCTCACTGACAGTGAGCATATAACCATCATCAATTATCATTTAAAACAGAAGCCCTCTGATTTACTAATGTCCAGCTGAGGCAGCATGGAGACTCAGTGGTTAGCACTGCTGCCTCACAGCGCCAGGGGCCCTAATTCAATCTC